AGCAAGACGATACCACCTGACGTTATGAAATACAGATATTACCCTAGCAAAACGATACCACCAGACGTTATGAAATACTGATATAACCCTAGCAAGACGATACAACTAGACGTTATGAAACACTGATATAACCCTAGCAAGACAATGCCACCAGACGTTATGAAATACCGATATAACCCTAGCAAGACAATGCAAGCAGACGTTATGAAACACTGATATAACCCTAGCAAGACGATACCACTAGACGTTATGAAACACTGATATAACCCTAGCAAGACAATACCGACAGACGTTATGAAACATTGATATAACCCTAGCAAGACGATACCACTAGACGTTATGAAACACCGATATAACCCTTGCAAGACAATACCACCTGACGTTATGAAACACTGATATAACCGTGTAAGACAATATCGCTTGACGCTATGAATCACTGATAACCCTTGCAAGACATTACCACCAGACGTTATGAAACATCGATATGCCCCAAGCCAGGTTTTCTTTGTTTGCATTTGTTTAACGCCACTCTCAGCAATATTCCAGCTATATGGCGGCGGTCTGTAAATAATAGAGTGACCAACAGCGTGCGCATCGATCTACGCAAATGGGGTACGATGTCAACCAAGTCAGCGAGCCTTACCGCCCGATCCCGCTAGTCGCCTCTAACGACAAGCATGAAGGGTTCCTTGGCCAGGTAACATATCTTGACGTTTTCAAGCACTGACTCACCCTTTGCAAGACAATGCCACCCGACGTTATGAAACAGTGCTATATCCATATTTCTACAAAGTAATTAACAAGGTCACAGGGAACGGTCATATTGAAACACAACTTTGTCAGTACCCAATGGTCCCTACTGCCCCCAGGGAAATCACGAAAAAGATGTTTCTGACTGGATGGTCCTCAGTTGTCATCTGTACTATGATTAGGGATCCGGGAGATCCATGCGTCTTCAAACATAGAATGGGATTACTCCGGATCTCATTACTGGATCTGGGACCAAACTGTGGTGTTTCGGCTCAGTGACTATTGTATTTATAACTAGTCATTACTATGTGTTAAAAGTATAGTTAAACCAATTTGTCGGAAACCACTTTGCCTTTGCATGAAGAACACTCTTCTTCAGGTTTGAGAGAGGTTTAACTGGTTTCAGCAATATCACGGCGGGGGATATCAGCTTGGATAAGAAACACCCCTGTGCTGTATTGAATACAGTTACATGTGTACCACAACCTTAAGTCTGTTTAGAAACTAGGGCTTGTTAAGAACGTTATTGTTTAATTGTTTCTTCAGTTATAATTATGGCATTTCTTTATGGGACAATCGGGTTTCTGAAATTTTTTATTGAATACATTTAAATGCTTCAACACATCAAGGAAATACACTGTAAAGCTCCCAAGGAACTGTCTAAAGACATTTGGGGATTATTGTGCAAGTATGTTCTCATACCAACCTCACCTCGGTTAATCTTTGAGACAATAAACCCTGAAAGGTATAAGAAACTGGCAGGATGTTTAGAAACATTCATAAATCGAAACTCCTCCCTGTTTCTTTGGCAACGTAACGTGTTTAATTGGGCCGAAGATTACAAAAAAGGTTTTCTAAACAAATTAGACAAATCAAATTCAGCCAAGAACGTTCCAAGGTCAGAGTGAGTGAGTATAGTTTTACGCCACTTTTAGCAATGTTCCAGTAATATCAAGGCGGTGGACACCAGAAATGGGCTTCAGACATTGTACCCATGTGAGGAGTCGAACCCGGCTCTTCAGCATGACAAGCGGACGCTTTAACCACAAGGCTACCCTATAGTCCTTTTACGTTCTGAAGTGGAGAGGAAATTGCAGCATGTGGCTTCGTTTTGAGTCGATAATTATCACCTGGTTTCTCTTGACAAGTGAGAACTTGTGTACATTGGTAAACTGTCAGTTTGTTTTACGATGCTGTATTTATCATCAAAAGACCTATCAATGTTCAGTTATCGATAAATCTGTATGGATATCGACTTATCTACTTTCCATATATGTATTTATGAGTCCAACGTCCAATACGACACCCGTCTCCAACTACCACCCAACAATGGTGTGTTAATACACTCTGTGTTAGTGGTACATGTTCAAGCTATAGTGTACATAGGGATTCTAATACACCCTGATAATTCCCTCTTGATAAGCTGCATTATTCACGGTGACGTTTCTACAGAACGTAAAGCACATAGCAACTACTTTCTCATAACTCGCTGTTTCCAAGAACACTTGGAGCTTACAGTTGGTATCGATCTGTTGATGAATGGCACTATGTGATTGCTTGTCAATATAACGAATATCAAATCATGCATAGATCCTTGATTTTTTTAATTATCGGGTATAACTAGGGGAGATGCTAACGTATTTAGGACAGTTGGGTAATATCGGAGATACGGTGGCACTGTGCCAATCTTAGATAATGACAGTGAACACGTTCTGAAATACACATATGAAAAATGATTTGCGAGTCTTACAAATGTCACGATGAAAAGAGGTGAAAAAGCTTAAATTCACTTTTTGCCCTTTTTAAAAAGAAATTATATTCCAACGCAAGTAATCATGGTTGTTACTGAAGCAAGGTTAAGATCTCTAATTGAGCCATATCTAGTGTTGTCTATCGCTCATGTTTCCCAAATTGTAAACCTAACATCAAACTCAATGAACCGATCGCACTACAGTTTTGCCTGGATGTAATTCTCAGTTGAAATGAATTTGACCTGACGTATAACGTTCAACCTGTTTGAACTAGTAACTGACGTCATCCCAAACCCCATAATGCAATGTCACGTGCACGCTGACACATCTCTCGGGAGGCAAGTCCAGTAGTCCTGGCTTAAATCTTAATACCTAGTACTTAACACCACCTAATTATCACCCCCGACAGTACTCTGCTTTAAGTCCCTACAGTTCGTGGTGATGTCCCTGTAACTCTGTAGACTCAAGGCTAGCGGGGCTGGACTGTGTTAATGCAATGTCTTGTGGGATACCAATACCACGTAATGCTGTGTAAAAACAAGTGGAGATAGAGCAGTATTCACTCTGGTGTGAGTGAGGCGAGTTTTATGCCGCAATGGTAACATTGAAAACCATATAACGGTGGAGGATTCGAGGGACGAGCGTCATACATCGAACCCATAAATATGCTAGAACTGGATTCTTAAGCGTGATAAGAAAAAACATTAAACATTGGGCTACCAAAGAGTCCCCTGAATATTATTACAGGAACCATTCATTATATCACATCTTGAACTTGTTGTTACAGCCATGCTATACGTGAATAATAAAATGGCATGATAATCATAGCGGATGAATATGATGTTGAATGTAAGCCCAAACTGATTATGATAGAATCTCTTAATTTTGGTTAACGCCGTCGACGTTGAAATGCCATATGAAGGGTAATAATGTGGCGGATTTTGGATTCAAACCCAGGCTACGCGGATCCTGGACGGGCTTGAGGCGCCTATACTAGTGAGATACACCTTCAGCACATCACGGAGAGGATCCGCCTATGCACGGAGATGGCAGAAAGGAAACTTTCAAATTACACACATGAAGGGAATCGAACCCGGTCGATCGACGTGACGAACAAACACTTTAACCATCATGCTACCCATGAACCAATAGGTACCTCTATATGGGTCACCGATGCTCTGTGGAACCTAACACGTGCAATGGGAATGTCGCGCTTCCAGTAATGTCATTCCGATTGATATGACTTCTAACGACAAGCAACAATACTGAAAGTACTGATACATGGGACAAGGGACTGACACAGTAGGTCACATGGACTAACGGGTGTCCAGGGCACGTGAAAACTGTGCTAATTGCAAGATAAGCGCTGTCAGCAATTCGGTGCATGTCTTACCATTGACGTAATCTACGCTTCCCACTGGAACACACAGTCAACTGCATGCAATTGAAAGGCAAGGCAGTAGCAGTGTATAATTACTAGATGTCAAGTGGCATCATGCTAATGCATACAGTAAGTCTTTATGTGCTGGTAATTGCACATCAAAAGACTGGTAAATATGTCCACAGTAGCGTATTTTTACAGACTATTGAACCTCCTCTCTTATAGTGGTATGAATGGCACCACCATTTATCTCAACGAGCATCAACTCAATGATATTCTGAGCAAACTATGACATATATTTCTATATCTGTACACGTGTGCGGTACAAGTGACACACACATGTACACCGTGTACATGTGTTCACACACACACACACACACACACACACACACACACACACACACACACACACACATATATATATACCATTCCGACCAGATCATGCCCTATGTAAATCAGGGGCCCAATATGCATTCGAAATGGTATCAACATGCCTGTAACAAGAAAACGCAGTATAATTCTAGAGATTATGAACCAATCACAGAGAACAAAAACAACTGACAAGTTGTCCATATAACGCCATAACATATATCATACAATTTAGACATTTTGATCACCATAGATTACAGTGCAATATATGTGTAACCACAAACCTTCACACAAGCAGTCTTGACGTGTATCCCAAGTATCCGTGGACCAATGGGCAAAATAACGGTATCTAATACATGGTATAATAGAATATATGGCATACCCTATATATGCTATAAGCACACAGATTCATTGTACATTGTGTACCTAAGAGTATACATCGTCTATAAGGCCAAAAAGAATCTCTGTCAGTATCTCCATCGTATTCTAAAACACATGGACATATAGTATTCGAAATAGCGCCATATCGACTCACCTGGCCATACTGTATAAATCCATTTGTATCCATGGTGCTCCAGAAAAGGTGTTATGAAACACTGAAACACTCACATTGTAATCTTCCCAAGGTTCCCTCGGTCCACGCACACGCACGCACACACGCACGCACGCACACACATGTCGCCATGTAACTATTCCTTTGTATCCATGGCAACATTAATTTGCCTCGATATAGTGCCATAAAGACTCACCTGGACTGTAGACTGTAGATATATCCCTCTGTCTCCATGGAGTACAGGGCGATATAGTCCCCGATATACAGCTGCTCCCCCACATTGCTGTTAGACATCATATTTAATCCGGCGGGGTCAGCTGTAAAATAAGAAAACATGTTTCAATAATTTAGAAAAAAAGATGGATAACGATGTGATGCTTAATAGCCACTTTGAGACACACCACTGTGGATATTATTACAGTGCAAAGTGCATTGTATTATTATTGCCAGTGGAAAATACTAACCAAGAAACGTATTCGGCGAGAGAAGGGTGTGCATTTACATTGCCATCCCATCCTCCCGGGTACCCTTTCGAGGCGCATTAACATTATACGGATTGCAGTGTTGCTAAGGTATAATCCAACAACAATGAATATAACAGATGGACATACTCATCAACCTAACGGAAGGATTGAGTCTTTAAAATCCACATAAACTGTATCGACACACCGTTGCCATAATATAGAATGAGATTAACATTATAAGACCAAAGTCTCATAACATTTAGCCCAGTAACGACCAACAAGCATAACGATTACACAAGGTTAAACACACAAAGAAATAAGGAGAAACGGTTATGGTCGAATATACGTCAAATAAATCATAAACAGATATCATATAGCCTACAACAGATACAAAGATCACATACTTCTGAATCCCTGAATCTTACGACGTGCAATCCTTCTTTGCAATTCATAGCAAATCAAATTCAAATGAATAAGGAAATACAAAATCTCATATCCCTCCTCAAGACCACCTAAACGCCATTCACTGACTCTAGACACAATCTAGCTATCCCGGAAAGTCTTAACAGCAGTGCCTTTCACAGTGAACATGCCGACTATCAGAGATAGACGGTCCGCCAGCAGCCAGGCGATGTAACGTCAAATACAAATGTAAATATCCGCTGCTAGAGTCTACAACGACCACGTATCATGCTCCAAAACATGTTGCAATACATACGTCTACTTGGTTGCTCAAAACACTTTACAACAGGTAGCGACAGTCTTGGCGAAGCGTCAGTGGACATCTTGGAGCAATCCTGATTTCCGTTATTTGCCACAGACCAGCATAGAAGGCGTAACCAGGTCAATAACAATATTCGCAATGATTAGCTGTATTGGGATATGTACATGTGTACCCTCGTCTGTGTTTTTGAAGAGTAAACTGACGCTAAAGCAGCTAGTGATGGGGCTTGTGAGATCGTGTCAGGAGAGACATAAACCTATGAGCAAAATAAATATGATTAAAATGCCCTTGGAGGCGATGAACCTAGCTGGTTCTACCCTTGAGTCCGCTTCATTGACGTGGGTCTCTTTAGGATAGAATGGTGGCTGATTGCAAAGCGAAGGCTTTTGAAATTTGAAACACGAGGTAGAAGCGAGGGGAACATGGTCTCTACATTTATTTCCATCAAACCAACGTTTTTACAAGCCTCCTTTGACCAGTCTATTGGACTGCTCGAATAAATGAAACGTAGAGTAATTATCTTTAAGAGTTTATTTGAAATGGCGCTTCACTTCACATCGTTTCTTTAATCGACCTGTCACCTTGCACTGACGAAAGTCATCACCAGAAGAACATGAAACACATATATGTATCCATTATTGTGAAACTGCAGTGAGCAAGAAACAGGCTTCGTTGATCAATAGCTCTCAAAAACTAAAATGACTTAGAATCGAGGGAGACACAGAAGAACGTCAAAGCATGGCCCAAGAAGGAAAACCAATTTACCAGAATTTTTTAGAGCAATTTTTAGAAACACCCTTTCGTCCGCTGACGCTTCATATTCAAGAAATTGTTTACATTGGTTATAAAAAGAACGTATTATACAGCGGTTACTTCTGTCTGCGAGGGATTATTACGGTGGAAGACCGGCGTGTACCCTTCTCTGCCAGACGGGTCGTTCTCACAGATGCGCCATAGAGCTACACTGCGACGTATATTAATACTACAACGGGACTCGATCGATTGCCTGTTTATAATCTGATTGTCAGTTTATATATATAAGAATCAATACTGAGAGATGTTATTTTGTTGCTATATTTAATGGAGTAGAATATCGTTAGGGTAATTAATCAACCCTGGTAATAAGAAGAACTGCTGATGTACCAAGGGACGTTTTAATGTGGAAAGACACCAATGGAATGTTGACCGTAGGATGTGACCGCGTGAAATATTACAACAGCATCGGAAAAAACTTCTAAGATAAATCCAAAAATAGAAATAGACATTTTCGGAAGAAATGAAAATATTGTTAATGAGTTTAACACTTGGGAGTGAATTATGACTTATTGAGAATCTGCAGTAAGTGGTCTTCGGGATAAAACTTACACCTAAATATACTACTTCGATATCAAAAATAGAATCATCAATAACTCGTCCCATTACGTTGTCGGTATTCGACATGACAAATCACAACACTACAATGCTCAACAGTCTGGACATGTGTGCATCATTCAAACGTTCGAAGAGGTCCATCAAACGTTCAAAGAGGTCCATCAAACGTTCAAGGGGGTCCTCTTCAGATGTACATTCTTGTATTATTGTACTCTAAAGTTTTTTCCCATGGATTGTTGTACCGTTTTCTCTCACACAATGAATCCAGAACAAGACCTTTTTGTGTATACAGTGAAGTCTCTCTAATGGACATTGATTACTTGAAGCATCAACAGAGACAATTTTATGAATTCACAAATGCCACAAATTAGACAGACCGTGGTGACAGCCCTGGGATAGACGCTTAAACTTGTAGTGAATAAATAAGGATATTGTTGAAGGTGTTCAACACTGTACATCGCTCCAGATCCTTGATTGTTGGCCTGTCGGCATCATGTCAATACTCGTGGGTTCCTGTAAGTGGTAAACGTCCTCAACAGGCGCTTCTCTGGGCTTCCTCCTCTGTGACTCGCCGTCACATAATAGAAGTAATGTTGGTTGGGCGTCACACCATGTCAATCACCGAGTCACCCACGAGAATCCGCGCATATTTCCCTGTCAACAACATGCTGCATGTTGTATGAAGCAGAGAATATATACAAGCGACAAAACCTGGCAATAGCCACAAGAAATGGTAATCCAGAGGGGATTGAGCGATGCTGACTTTATCACAGGCATGTGTTTATAACTCACTATCAAATAGTGATGAAAACAGGTGACCTATTCCACATAGTGATGACATAGTGCTGACACAGTGATGACACGGTGATGAAACCAGAAATACAGGAATACAACAACAGCACTCAACGAATGTTAGGGTTGTGAAATATGTTGTACTTACACGGAAATATAAGTCTCACATAACAAAAGCCTGTTCCCTGTTCAACACTGAACTCATACCAAAAGAAGTGAAAATACGGTACTTGTTGGTCCCTGTCTGGCGATCGGTATTAATGGGTACAACAAGGACTGGTCGGCTCGGAGTCAGTATAATGTGTCTGAGTTGGGTATTCATGCTTCACTGCGGCATGGTATCTCAGTGAGCTAGCACTATAAAACCAGCTTAAGTCTAGGCTAGTACAAGCAGCCGTACATACACATACACACGCATGCACGTTGTCATGTGAGCGAAATATTCTCAAGCACGACGTTAAACCCAATTTCACCTCACCTCAACACTGAACCGTACTATCAATGAAGTGTCCGCTGCTCAACAAAAAGACGTTATCACTTGTGTAGCTAATTTGTCATCCCAAGACTGGTTAAATATAATTACATAACAATCGAGTGTTGCGCACGAGTTGATAGGTATAGAGAATACATATCTCATATGGGTGTGTCGTCTTCTTACAACGCCAGCAATCATCTGCATTGTCCATTGAGGGGGAGTTGAGAATTTATCACCCCAATAAAAGCCTCCTCCTCTTTGTCCGGCGTGGTGTCTATATCCCCCACTGACATCTCATTCCAACTCATTATAAATATGGCGGGTGCAGCTGCTATCTCCAGCCATATATCAACCTAACTTCTACAATAAAATTCCTTTCTGATTGAAGACAGGTGTTATTTAAACAGGATGGCCTCGGCTATGTGTGTTGGACAGAGATCCAAGCAGTGGTTATAGCTTATAGCGAACTTCGCAGTCCTTATTGCATAACAAGCACATATAATTCTTCTACCGTCATCTGACGTGCCAGTTGGTTTATAACTTAAACAACCCACACAGGTAATATAAACTATCGGGCTACACAAAGTATACACTTCAAAGTTGTATTTCAATAAAGAATAACAACGTTGATTTCTATAATTAGCTACCATGAATTATGGGTGTATACTTTATTCTGAATATCAGTTGATATAGGTCACAGAGATAGGGAGAGATGTGGAGGTTCAGTGTATTAGCGGCGGGAGGAAGGAATATATGATCATAAACAATGTCTAATTATATATCCAGATAAACCACTCTCTCATAACCTTTATATATATTCATGGACCGGGTGGGTCACCGCAGACACCGAGATACACCTGAACTACAATGTCAGTCGGTGTCAGGATCCGCTAACTCAGTCTAATGAAATGTTTAATGCCTCGTTTTCCCCATACAGTGATCCCGTACTGTCAGGCACTTGAAATATGGAACAAAATAGGAAAACGTTTATTCGGTATTGAAAGTACGCCGATATATTACTAATGTTGAACGTCAGTGCAAAAGAATACCCTCTCTTGACTGTCCTCAGAAACACATTCCGTTTCGTGTTGAGGGAAATTAGCTGTGAAAACTGTATGAATGGATCACTGAAAGTCCGCGATGACACCAGGTGTTCATGTCCTGCCCTTTCGGTAGCACCTGCCATTCACAAAATGTGATTAACTCATGCTAATACTGTCAGGGTGTACTGATCTTGAGAGAAACAAATCCACCAAAAAATATCTAAGCAGTCGTAGATTCACTCTGAAGTTTATACAGAAATCGACTGAGGATAACCGATTATCCCACGATTACTGAAAAGTGGATCAATGGATCACCTGGAATCAGCGATGCCACAACGTGTATGGGAAAGATTAAGCATTATATTGATATATTAGCGACTTAGCTACCGTCTCAGTTACTACTGGATTCTTGATATACAGTTAGTTTGTGAAGCGTCATTTCTAGGTC